ACCGCCAACTCTTGGGCTACTCTTTTGCCAACGAATAGTGGGATTGACCGTCACATTATAACGCCCCCACGGCTGAAAGGGCGAGCATGTTTGGTGTGACGGGGATTCGAACCCGCGACCCTCAGATTGCGAGTCGAGTGCCTTAACCACCTGGCCATGCCGGGCCCTGAACATTTAGTTCGTGAGCGTTTGTAACTTAAAATCGTTATCAGTACTAACAGATATTTCCAGTTTCATGACAATGACTTATTTGGTTAGAAGGTTCTTTTTCGCAACTATGGCCTTCACTTTTGAATAAAAATTTTCTTGTAGATTCGTTATCATGTGATTTCAGACCCTTTGCTGTTTTAAACTCTTTGACAATACACTGTCAAATGATTAGAAACTTGCCAAATGTATAGTTGCTAAACAGCTTGTAGAAGCACGACTCACATCTCTGGTGACGCACCGCTTTCATAACAAATCTATATCTTTTTATAAAGAGCGATTAACCCTCTGTACAGAGGTCATATTTATATTGACGTCATGTAAATAAAAGTTTTAAAGAGAAATGGTTACTAGATATTTTGGTAAATATTAATACGCCTAATTATTGAATGCTTTTGCTTCTTATATTTGTACCTTTAGGGTTTCAAAAAAATAGAAAAAATTAACATTCATGCCAACTTTTTAACTTGTCTTTTAACAGATCTCGTTCTTATTTCTTTCCAGTGTTATTTATTCTTAAACAAATAAGCAGGAACTATCATCTTATACTGTTTTTAACGTATTACAAGGTAATCTAATTGAAACAAATTGTATTAACCCATTAATTTATCATCTGCGTTACTAGAACATCCTGCCATGTTTGTCACTAAATTTCTGTTTCTAGTGGTCTGGAATAGAAAAAAAACAAAACGTTTTTGACGTTTAAACAGTTTTTACAAATGCATTAGTTTTTTTTCTATTACTTTCAGAAACATTGGGAAAATAATGCTAGTGATCTCAAAAGTGCACTACGTTATTTTTTTTTTAAAACTTGCTCTAATTCGTCATACTTTCTCCCAGGGTTTAGTTGAATTTCTTTATCACATTCTTTTGTAAGAAGATTAGTATTATTTTTTTATGTAAATTGAAAACATTCAAAAGCGAAATTTATAAAGATCTACAATGCAAAATGTTATGAAAGAAACAAAAGGCTTATTTTTATGAACATCAAACTATTGTCACTAAAACACCAACCATATTATTACAATTTTTTGAAACTTTCTAAATTTTTATTTTCCAGCATGGTATTTATAATAAATTGGTTTATGAAAAAATATTAATATAGACACTAATATTTCACTGTTAAGATAACTTTGGTTTAGTAAGAAATGATTTTGTAATTGAAGAAATATAAAAATAGCTATGGAAATTAGGTATTTAGTAAATAAATGAATTAATTTGCACGTTGTTGTTTCTTTATGATTGTCAAGTGTGAAGCTAACGATATCGTTTTACAAGTTTTAGGATAGTATCTTTTGGTTACTTAGGATTTCGACGAGATATTTTTCTGTGGATTTAATTCTGGTGGTGACTCTATAATTCTACGAATGACCAGAAGAGGGAGTAACGAAGCGGGAGTTCAGTTTTATTTGAAATATGCAGCAACAAACGATATTTACCAGCTTCCTTTCCATCCGGAAACTAACGTTTTGTACAGAGAGAGAGATGGTTTTTCTGCTGCTGGATTTCGAATAAGATGTTTAAATCCAATAAGAAATTGGAGAATTTCTTATAATGGGCTCTTAAGGTATAAACATTTTACGATTTCTCTAGGTTTCGCGCAAAACAAACAAATAAGAAATATCATAAAAAAAGAACTTGTTTACATATTTTTACTTCTAAACTAATATTAAGATAAGTACATGCGAAATTAAAACTTTTGTAAAATCAACAATTCTTTTTGTTTTCTGTTTCCAAAAAAATTGCTTGAAACAGCATTGGCAGTTTAGAACAATCATTTCAGAATGAGCGGATTCAAAAATTTATTCTGGTCTTACAATATTTTGAGTAATTCAGTAACATTACTTATAAAAAAATCTTTGAGTAACAGATACTGTTGGAATTTCTGATGTTTCTATTCTAGTCATAGCTGTGATTAATTTATTTGTATCTGAATAAGAACAGTAACAGAATGAGTACACAATATTACCTTTACGAAATGATTTGGCAGATTGAACAATAGATGAACGTCAAGAAGAATTAGTAATTAGAATGATATTTGGCAACATTGATTAGTTCTTATATTTCAAGTACAGTAACAAATCAGTTGTCATTTCCTTTGCTGTTTTTAAATAAACTATCTCCGTTTTAATTTGTGAATGAGTTGGAAAACTATCTACCATGTTTACGTTGAACCTTTCTTTGAATTTCCGTAAGTCATGTGGAAATTTACTTTCTGGTTCTTTATCAAGTATGTCGATATAAAAAAAATCATGCTCGTTTTTAGTTTCCATTCCTTTTCTTCCTCCTTTCAAGTAGTTTGGATTTAAAAAACTTGCTGGTTTTTAGTATCCATTCCTTTTCTTCCTCCTTTCAAGTAGTTTGTATTTAAAAAACTTGCTCGTTTTTAGTATCCATTCCTTTTCTTCCTCCTTTCAAGTAGTTTGTATTTAAAAAACTTGCTGGTTTTTAGTATCCATTCCTTTTCTTCCTCCTTTCAAGTAGTTTGGATTTAAAAAACTTGCTGGTTTTTTGTATCCATTCCTTTTTTTCCTACTTTGAAGTAGTTTGGATTCTTAGGTCCTCCCCTTCCTCTATAAACGCAAAAATCATCCTATTGCTTAGAGGAAATTGAAGTTTATCTTTAAACATGGATGCATGCAAAGAAAGTCACTTTGAAAAAAAAATAACTTGCTGTTTTTATACTATTAGCTTATACGAAAATCGAATAAACTATGCTAAATATAATTTTTATTAAGGAACTTTTAGTATGTTGACTTACTAATAAAAATTAAAATAAATATTACAAGTATGCCACAATAAATAACTTGTTATGGTGGTATTGTATATGACAATAATGATCATGATAAGCCTATATCTCCAAGACACTTTTAATAATCAATTTAATGTGTATCTTCTGCTCGTTTAGGAAAATCACTCCAGCTGGAGATCGGGTTCAAGAAGATGTTCATGTAAAGTTTTCATTCATGTAAGTATTATATATATTTTTTATATTTATGTATTTTATTTACTCGAATGAATAACAAAGCTTAGGGACGGATTGAACGGATATCGAGGAAAACTTCATAATAAAATTTAACTTGTAACGATAAAAATAATATACAGCCTGTTTTGATGAGTAGGTTATGAGTATAGAGAAAATTTACCTTAAATAATGATTTATTGCTGTTTAGATGGGCTGTGACTAGTTTGCCCTTCGATTTCAAGATCGATTTCTGTCCCAGACTTCTTAGTCAAGATTTGGCAAACTGTACTTGGAATCGAGGTTTTCCAACTTACGAAAGGTTAGTGCCTTACAAATTTAATAACAATGAAGTCAAAAAATACTTTTTTATACAAAATTTATAAGCTTTTGCTTGCACATAAAATCAATACAAGTAGTTAAGCAACATTTTATTTTGTTAACTACTATTTGCTATCTTTGGTTCACTTTAAGTTTCGAATATTTCGACCCAATTTACTGCCTTTGGGCCCTTCCGTACTTCAAGATTCGCATATTCCTAAAAATTGGAAAAACAAAATGGCAATAAATGAAATAAAATCAAGGATTCCAATGACGATAATTTGAATGTACTATAATTATTTTATTGTTCTTGGTTAGAAACAGTTTTCGATATTGCTTGATTTAAAAAAAATATTTTACTTTTCAAAATAAAATTAAGATTCACAAGAAATTAAACAACAACAGTTTCTTTTCTCAAGTTAACGCGTTAAATAAACAGTGAACAGAAGCCTATAGTATTTTTATACAGGTAACTAAATCTCTAAGTTCTACAAAGTTAATGTTATACTAATTGCATTGCACTGAAATATTTTAGTAGATATACGTGTAAATACTGCGTTTGAAAGTTTATGAAAAGCCTAAAGCTTTTGAAAATATAAAACTGTAAATTTTCTAAGTACAAAAAGGAAGATGATTACATTTTATAAAACAAAACTGATGCGATATTTTAAATAAAAACTTACGTTTGGCGAGTACTAACATGCTCAAATTAAAAGTATGTTTTCACATCTTGTTAAACAAATCGAAAATTTACTTCAGATCATACAGCGATTTGGTCTTGATTGGTACAAAAGTTTCGCTAAGTTGAAAAAGTTAAAGATATTGTACTCGACTATCAATACATTTAAACTACATTATATAACATAACTATTAAAGGATCACCAAGATACAAGATCGTTATGACCAATGGGGCCAGTGGAGAGGGACAGTTCATTTTGAAGATCAGGAGGACAAAGAAATGCTATTGTGGGGAATGAAATCCAGACAGAGCGGTAATTTTGAAATGCTTTAGGTTTAACTTATACTTAGATTCCATTTCATTGTATGTATAACAATACATTTGTGTATAAACGTGTGTCTAATATACGTGTTCTAATCCGTTGGTACTATTATCATATTTTGCATCTTAAAGCTATATTACTATTTGATTATTTATTGCAGTTAAAACGTACATTTAGTAGTAGCATTCAATTCATATGTATCAGTTTAGTCTATATTACACCAGTCAGTACATATTAGTTTATTTTGAATGCCAAGCAGCATTAACTGTTTATTGAACTTTTAAAAATACGATAAAATGCTAAGATACTGGCGAAGACAAATTTATTTAATGTTTATATGGAAATCTTTGTTGAAATATTTTAGGTTCAATTGACAGGACTATTTATGGTCGTTATATTCATCTATATGGCTGGATGAAAGTAAGTAAATAAAAACCATTTACGTAAATTCGTGGTTAGTTCACGGTACTACTGTCGTGTACTCTGTTATTTTGGGTTAATAAATCTTTCTTTGGTCAGTTATTAGTGGTAATTGTTATTATACTATAGAACAAGTAACACAAGACAGTTTCTTTTTTCTTTAAATAAAAAAAAATATCTCAATTATACGTATTTAAGCTTGTTGAAACATTGGTGGGCAAAGAGCATATATCTTTAAATAATAATTTAGATTTTTTTTTCAAAATTTCTCACATTCTGTAGTAAAACTACCATGATAAGACTTTACTATATTAATCTATATCGGACTTTTGTAACATTATAAAAATATAACTAACGGTTAACATTTTTATAACTTAGATATCACTGTTATGCAAACAAATATTGCCAAAAACGATAGAAAGTAATACAATATTTAATAATACTTTCATGATACATTTAACTTACGCCACGATAAAAGCATGAAATCCTATTGTTTGTCCTAACAAGTTATAATGTTCCTGTCTTTGTACGATTATAGCTGTGGTTGGAAAAGTTCTGTTGGATTCATCAAACCACAATAAAATGTTGTTAAATAATTCGATATCTGCATTAAACTCTGAAAAAAATTATTCTTTGTACTTCAGAATATTCCTAACCTAGGCTAAAAATCAGCATTTAAATACAGACATTATAACATAATGTACATAATTGTTCTTATGAGTAGTTTATTGTCATTGTACAAAATAAAGTCTCGCGATCACAATATTATTCGTCGTTGTTACTTTCATATTATGTTTGAATTACGTTTTTTTATATGGCACAGGATGGCATGACATTCAACATCAGCCTTGTACCCTTATCAAGTTTTTGTACGCAGTAAGTATTTGTTGTTTGTTTTGAATTTCGCGCAAAGCTACACTAAGGCTATCTGCGCTAGCCTTCCCTAACTTAGCAGTGTAATACTACAGGGAAGGCAGCTAGTCATCACCACCCACCGCCAACTCTTGGACTACTTTTTTACCAAAGAAGAGTGGGATTGACCGTCACATTAGAACGCCCCCTTGGCTGAACAGATTACGAGTCGAGCGCCCTAACCGCCTGGCCATGCCGGGCCAGCAGTAAGTAAAACATTTTCGGAAAGCCACATTGTACAGAGATTGAATACGTTATATTAAAACGATTTTGGAGCTTCACCACGTCCGTTCATGCTCCACCTGACGACAGTGGGTCATGATAGCCTTGCAGGGTATATTTCATTGCAAAAGGCTCCTTCGTAAGGCTGTCATATCTAAAGTACACCACTTCTTCCTGCTTCTTTCCATAATATATCTAGTCTTCGAGAACGACAGTTCCCTCCGTCCATTTCAACAATATGATCATACAGAAATCCATAAGCATCTGGCAACTTGATCGATATGTATTCGTATAGAATAGTATGAATACCTGTTTTATTCTCCAACTGCTTGAGCTATGAGACGATTGAACGGACGCCCCACTTTCCTTACCACGGCTGGGTATGACGTATTGCAGATCTGTTTCTGGATAATCGTGATGCCCCAAATTAATCCATATTCGTCATTTTTCAAATGCCATTAAATACAAGGGATAACTCGTCCTAGAAATTCTTAATCCCCGAACTTAACACATCTTTATGATCTGAGTGTTCGAATATTTTACATCGGAAAGGACTGGCTGTAGATACCCTTTCGAAAATCAATCACTTTTTGATGGTATCACTCTACCCATGAACGTTGAACAATGTAAAATGTAGTTCTGATACATGCAGTTTCACCGCGATTTTATATTGCCTGTGGTTACCACGTGATTTGCTGACTTATATATATTCAAAATAATTTTAATATGACGTACTCAACCCTCTGTACACAAGTAAAGAAAAAAATAAATGAAGTAAATGTAGGGATGGCTGATATCAATAATTCAAAAACAATGAAAACGAGATAGTAGGGATGGCATTTGCATCATCTCTACATAATAGCACAGGCAAGAATTAAAATATGGCAATATATATATATATATATATAGATATAGATATATATAACTATTCAATCACAATTGAGTTTAATTTATCTTATTTTTTTCTGTTAACG